CAAGTTTGAGTTCCGTACGACTATTCTTCGGAAAAATCCAATTAACAGATTGCTGTAGTCTTCTACTTGTACTTGTGGTGGGTCCGGGACACTTGTAGAATACTAGATTTATTAGTAGACCGGATATGAATAAGAACGGAGGATAAGACGAGACGAACAAATGACTTAGCTAGCAGGGAGCGCCTTATATAGCGCTCACATCCCGCGCATAGATCAATACAAAACCAATGGATCCTAGAGATCACAAGCCAATACAACACAAAACAAAACAACAAATGTTACTCTCCAACACAGATAATAAATTTTTTTTTTTGATTTTGGCTGCAAACTTTATATAAAATGGGGGATCAGGGGGATCTTGGGTGGTCATTTTGCAGAGCTTGCTTCGCTCTATCGAACGATACCTCAAGTCTGCCAGGAAAACATAAACAATTTGATTTATTTAGAAATGCGGTTTACTTCTGGGACAACCTAATATCTGACCAACTTACTTTGGCTGATAAGAAATGCATTTAATTCTCTTTCACGTCATAAGATGAACGTAATCTTACTAATGTAATTGCTTACTATCTACAGTAATGACACTGCATATCACACTGAGCTTTTCTGTAATTTTTAGCACGAGACTTCAACGTTTTTATAGCATCGAACTGGATCAAGACTTACATGGCTCCTCATTACAGAGTCGCTTTCACCAGCAGCTCCCTCCCCTTTACGGCCGCATCGCCTAAACCCTGCGCTGCGTCTGCAATGCGTGACTCGGGCATTTTGCCAGGCCTCGATCGATGGCGCCGGCGCTGGCATTGTATTTTCTCGGCCCAGCCTCTTTTCTTCGTTCTTTCGCTCACTTTGCTCTCAACTAGCCCATAACAATTTTGCGATGTCATCTCATGCCGACAATCTGCGTCACAGTTCTTTTGTGCCTAGTTGATGTTTTAGGATTTTGGCTTGACAGAGATGGGATTTTCTCGTTCACTTTATCTCGCTTCTTCGTTTTTTCGCGTTGTGGTCCCTCAGAAAGTTTCATCGTAGTTCTGTGATGAAGAAATATGCTGAAATTCAGCGCAATAGTTTTTTTCTAGACCTATGGTATTCGTAGGATTCCTAGCTCCTGTTCTTCTCGCAATGCAAATGTAGGAGCTGTGTGTTTGCCTGCTTTGAGGGACCACAGCGCGAAAAAACGAAGAAGGAGATAAACTGAACGAGAAAATCCCATCTCTGCCAAGCCAAAATCCTAAAACATCAGCTAGGTGCACAAAAGAACTGTGACGCAGACTGTCGGCATGAGATGACATCGCAAAATTATTATGGAGCAAGTTGAGGACAAAGTAAGCGAAAGAACGAAGAAAAGAGGCGAAATGGCTGAGAAAATACAATGCCAGCGCCGGCGCCATCGATAGAGGCCTAGCAAAATGCCCGGATCACGCATCGCAGACGCGGCGCAGGATGTCGGCGTTGCGGCCGTGTGAGCGGGAGCTGCTGGTGTAAGCGACTCTGTAATTAAGGGGCCCTGTACACTAGTTGATTTTTTTATTGATTTTCTTAGTGAGCGTGTCTATCTGTCCACCTATCTCAAAGCTGTGACAAGCCTTAGAAAGCCTCAAAGATTGAATATAAGGGTTGAATATATATATATATATATATATATATATATATATATTTCTGAAGTTTTTTGAGAAAACGTGCATTAATTATGAATCATCCTACAGTTAGGTCGTTCCGAAAGTTCTTTCCGTTTTTTTCCAACCTATCATTAAAACACGTAGAATAAAGACAGGGAAAGGCTTTAACACGTTTCGGACCGCGAAATCGCGCGCGGCGAAAAAGAGGGTACTTTCAGCCGTTAGCCATCAAAGGGACCTTATTTCCCAGACTGTGTGCTACATCTGTAATCAGCATGTCAGGCAAGATCGATACGCATAGTTCTGAATGTATTCGAGGTGTTTGAATTTTGTCGTTTGAGAAGGACTTCTGTGCTTTCTTGAAAGATAGAAACAAGAACTCAGTTTCTGATAGTATCCAAAAGTATCTATGTTGTAGACGGTACACATCAGTATTGAAACTACGGTTTTTCTCTTTGTATTTAAAGCTAAGAAAAGTTGCGACGTCGCACGCGTCGTTCGCGTTGCCGCACTTGGTTGCAACTGTTGTTCGATTTGTCCTCTTATCTCCTAAACAAATATCGGCAGCACAGCTCTATAGAGTTATTTGAAAAGTAGAAGCCTAGGCCTTTCACTTGATAACCTTGATCAAAGAGAAAACCTTCTGTACACGCTAAAAAGATCCTTCAAAGCCGCGTGCTGCACCATGTGCAGCACCGGTCCGAAACGTGTTGAGTACTCTCCGACGCAGCTTTTCTTCCTCTTTTTAAATGTCTCATTCGTATGCCGCTTGCTCTTATGACCTGGATAATGACAGAAATTTTGAACCCATGGTTTTTACCATGTCCAATTTTGGCAATTTTTCACAATCTTCATTTTCTCTTGGAAAAGCTTTCATAGCAGCCAAACAGAGTAAACAAAGTGCAATTTGATGGAATTTTCTGGCAATTTCGACTGGCTTCTCGGTATTTTTTGAGATTTTCCCAGAAGTCTTCACTTTTTCAAACTCACAAAACACACAGACGCTCCGAACATTAACAAATCAATCTTTGGATTTCGACACTTTCAGAAGTCGTTTATGATTGTCCACCATTTTTAAACTAAATCAGCGTTTACCGCTTCAAAATATAAGATTTCGCATTTCACGTGTGCACCTTTAGGCGGGTTCAAAATCAAGAATTATGGAAATCTTATCGCCAAAGCCCCCACAAATTGGGAAGAAAAATACTCAATAGAAAGAGGAGGAAAATCTGCATCGAATGACAATTTAGTTGTGCGTCGTTGTATGTTCTACAGTTCTTGGCATCACCAAAAGTGGAATTTCATAGCATCAGAAAAATGATTTTTAAAAATTTTTTAGGGCTGGCTATAGACGCCGAAAAATTGCATTAATTGACTTTGTTTACTCTATCTGACTGCTATCAAAGCTTTTCCAAGAGTTGAAAATAAAGATTGTGCAAAATTGCCAAAATTGGACATGCTAAAAACCATGGGTTCGAAAATTTGGCCATTACCTCACTGACCACAATTGCAAGCGGCAAATGAATATGACAATTGAAAAGAGGAAGAAAAGCTACGTTGGAGAGTGCTTAAAGCGTTACCCTTTTTTCATTCCACGTGTTTTTATGATAGGTTGAAAAAACGGATAGAACTTTCGGAACGACCTCATATTCAATTCAGTTTAAATTCTTGAAGCTAGTCAATTTTTATACTACAGTATGTATTACAAACGCCTATGTAAGGGTGCGGAAAAATACAACTATAGTTTATAATATTGTAAAGTATAGTTGTATTTCGATATAAATATTGTGTTCCACAGATCCACTGTTCTACCGAGGAGATAGCCATCAAAATCACCCAGGAGCTTCTCTCTTACGCTTCTTGACATGGCAAGCTTAGTCAAGACGCATACTGGCAACTGTTTCCCTGGGCTGGTCTTGGCTGTACCTGACAAGTCAGTACGCGTCTGGATCAATGCGTAAATGAGCCGATCTAAACGTTTCCCGTGGATGTCGGTCCTCTTCGCCATTCAGGGGTGGTCTTAGATGGCCGAACCAACGTAGAAGCTCTAGTACCTCTTACAAAGTACAATTCGGAAGACATGGATTTTGCACGAACGGTGCCTTGGTTCATATAGTATCTACGGCAGCAGCTTTCTTGTTGGGGCGGCATTTGCGGTACTATATTAAAGAACTATAGTTTCATTACTACTTTTGATCTCTAGGTAATCGGCTGCAAAAACATTTTTTGTTATGAAGTGACACGCAAACGGTCTTATCTCTAGGTATATAAGAGCCTCCAACACTTTATTTTGATTTTAAACATTTCTTTGAAAAAAAGAAACTACTAACAGTATCTGCGAGGTAAATGCAGCACACTCGCTTTGCTAGTGCAAGTACGAGCAGAAATTCCACTTAGCAAGCTGGAGCAGAAGAGACGTTCAGGATACTACGGTCTCCTCAAGAAACTTAGCGAAGAAAGCCATTGACGTTCGCGAACATATGTAACTGGTTGTGATCTGCTGCTCGCACTAGTTCGCTATGACTTGCTGCATACAGTTCGTACTTCTCTCACATTAAAGGCAGTGTCCGGGCAAGAACTCGATTTTGAGATTTTGTGCTTACCCGGGCCTATTCGCTATGCTGAATCCGAAAATCCACACTGGAGAGCGCGAAAACGACGAAAAAGTGCTCTAACACTGGAGGGAAATCAGCAACTGGGCGGGGTCTTCCCCACTGTGAATTCACGCTTCCAGCTTCCAGAGCAATTCTCTCAAATCCGTTAGCCGCCCTGACATCACTACCGATCAAGTGCAAACGAATGACATGAAACCGGAATCAAAAAGATTGCCCCCGAAGCTGGGAGCGTGAACTCACAGTGGGGAAGACTCCGCCCACTTGCTGATTTCCCTCCAGTGTTAGAGCCCTTTTTCGTGTTTTCGCGCTCTCTAATGTCGACTTTCGGGTTCAGCATAGCGAATAGGCCCGGGTAAGCACAAAATCCCAAGATCGAGTTTTTGCCCGGACACTGCCTTTAACCAAAGCTAGATACAGTTATTGAAAGCCATTTAATCAACACGGGAAAAGCCATTTAATTAACACGAGTCAATGCACTAACAAGGAGAGTGTTTTTAAGCAAAGTGGCCTTCACACATGGATTTTATAACACTCAGGAGAGCAGAGTACTGGTCTTAACTCTTCTTCAAAACTTGCTCTGCACCCCGGTCGCTTTTGAGCGTTTTAGTGGTCAAAAAAATTGAAGAGGCATAACAAAATCAAAATTGTTCGAACGAATAAGTGTTGGTTATTAGGACTCTGTATGCAAGGGAAGATGGTATGATTTCCCTGGTTATGTGTTCAATCAGTATACGGGTAACTAATGAAGTAATTGATAACCAGCCTTTACTATTCTGACAGCTACAAGCACAGTGGCAAGCAGGACAGGGGCGACAAATCCGTGGCCGAATGTGGCACCGAAGCGGTTTTGGACATCTGCAAAATCACGTTTCGAAAGAGCTTTGTAGATTTCCAGGCAAACCTGCAATTTTTATTGTCGACTGAAGCTGCGACAGCTGCCAAGGCAACCAACGCTAATACTGGGAACTTCATAGAAAACGTTCTAAACTTGATGGTCATCATAGTTTTGTATAGCGTAATATTAGCCGATAAGATAGCGTCTTATACTTTTTGTGTCATGAGATGCATAACATTAGCTATTGACCTGCACGCTGTCCTACCTGATTAAGCAGATGAGCTAGTAAATTTTTTGAAACTGGCAATCAAGTTATTTGAATCGCGTTCCAAAGGTTTGAAGTTTTGCAAACTAAAGTTCGCTTAGGGTATGTATAGAATAGTGATCAGCCTTGAAAAATAAACAAATTTCTTTTCTCAAAACGGTGTCCAAGCACCTCTCCGCGCTCCTAATGGCGAACGATTTGCATCGCTGTATGCTTTTGCGCGTAAACTCATCGAGCGCGATAGGTCTCCTGCGACAGATGCAAGCCAGTGCAGGTGCTCGCCAAATACGTTGCCGGGACCTTGCGGAATATCTCAATAGACTATGATCCCAAGTCGGTGGCGATTTGGAACGAACTTCATATTACTGGGTGGCAGTGGGGGGGGGGGGGGTATAATAATGTAATATGAAGAAGAAAGGACTGTTGAAAGAGCCTAGTTTTAACTGCACATTAAATCAAATGTTGAATTACACTAACAAGAATTTGGATTCCTGGATGGAACCTCGATTCCAGGTTATAGCAGCGTGGCGAGCAGAAGCGCAGGGCCGTGACGTGCATAAACTCGGTCGAGAACAAAGGGTGGAACAACATGCGACGAGTAAACTGATGAAACCCCGATTGAATTCGGACCTTACGCGGACTATGGACAAGACTGTGCCATGCTAGAATTTTGAGAAAGAATACAAAACAAATCACCAGCTAACATCAATAACCCAACCATAATACCCTTTGTTTATACGGGGCTATCAACGCTCGATATAATGCATGAACGATAAAGCTCCACAATTGCTTTTTGGTGCGGCTTGATTTATTTTAACGTCGCCATCAACCATTTCCATATTTGCAATTTCTGTTAAGGCATCAAACAATCCACATTTGCCATCTTGTTTTCCAACCGGAGAAAGCTCTCAGAGGGCATAACAGATTAGAAAAAAACAGATAGGAAAATATTGGCAAATTTGTGGGATTAATTGAGGAAAATACTGTTTTAACACGTTGACGACGGTGTCGCGCAATGGTGCGCGACAGGCAGTCTGTCCCTGTGGACGATGTCGCGCAATGGTGCGCGACACCCTAAACATCAGTTTTAATGTGCACAATGGTCCCAATTTGTGTTCATATAATTAAGTTAGGCTCGAAAGTATTTCATGTTGGCCCCGCCCCCTTTTTGGCAAACTCCGCCCACTCCATTGCCCCCTACAAAAAACTTCCTTCGTTCTCAAATCACATAGAAAAGCTCATAGATGATAGGGGAACCTCAAATAATCTTAATTTTGACCCCGCTCCCCGAAATGCAGGCTCCACCCCCTCAGTGTCAAGCTCCGCCCACTTTTCAAAAATGCCGGAATTTGTGCGAATTCGTTGATTTTGAGCAATTTCCAGCATTTTTGAGAAGTGGGCGGGGCTTGCCAAAAGTGGGCGGAGCTGCCCCGCCCACTTGCATTTGTGTATCTCACGCATAGATGCATGCATATACATGTGCAGCCTGCTGTGAAAATGCCCGGAAACGGTTCGTCCACAGGGACAGACCTTCAAAAAATGGCTCGTCGCCAACGTGTTAAGATGAAATAGAGTGCGGGAGTAGAGTCAAAGAGAGGTAGTGATTACGGTCGTAAAGTTGTTTAGATTCTCCATCCCGTTAGAACAATGTGTTCGCCATGCGCGAATTCATCTACTTACAAAGGGAGGGGAGGACCCAGAGCCGAGGTTGGCTCTTCTCATTTGAGATGAATACATTTTGATGAGCATCAAACGATGATTACAAAACTGTCTCTGTTATCTGCCGAGCTCCTCTAAACGATGAGTTTTGAGCGTTTTTTAATTCAAAATTGTAGAATATACTCGTATTCAAACTTCTTTATTTGAGCGCTGTGCTTCTTCAAACTCGTAACTAGTACATCCTTGTTTTCACATTGTTGCTCTCTTCTTAGCTCAAAAAAAAAACAGCTCGTTCTCAATGATATTAGGTCGTTCCGAAAGTAATGTCGCTTTTTTCGAATGAACGCCACTATTGTGGAATCATCATTTCCAAAAGATCTTAGAAGCATTCGATGCAGCATTTCATCCTCTTTTTAATGGTTCTAATTCCACTGCATGATGTTCAATGAGCTCTCGAAAAATTACCAAAATGTGCGACTCATGCATTTTGCCATGGTCAAGTTCGGCTATTTTTCTAAATTTTTGTACCTAATCTCCGAAAAAGTACAAGTGGCAGGTAGATAGAGCAAACACTATAGAACATAAAGTAGTTTTTTCTTTTCCTTAGCTTGCTTCTCACAGTTTCTACAATCAATTTCTCATTGCCATCAAATTCCATATTTAGTCAAGTCAAACCTCATAGAACAACAACCAAGGAGCGACTCGGATGTGATTCGATGCAGCTTTTTCTCCTCTTTCCAGCGGTTGTTTTTTGTTCCCGATTCATCAAGTTTACCGGGAGAAAAACATCATAATTCAACTTTTCCAATGCTCCCCAAGATGTACCCGAAATTTTCGAAAGTTGCTAAATCGAAGCGGGTGCTCGTATGGTTTGTAAAATTGTTGCCAAACCATAATCCATCTTTGTAAGTTTCAAAATCCAAAGACTTGTTGGCGTTTGATCACTTGTGTCTGAGACGAGCCTGCTAAAACTCGGTTGTTCCATCAAAAAATCTTTACATAAATTATGACGAGCTCCGGAAAGAGAAAGAAGTTGTGCTGTTTCCTGTAGGGTTTGCTCCATCCATCCTTTACTTGGACTCCTTCTGAGGTTTGTTATAAAATTTTAGAAAAATTGTGAAACTTGGCCATCTCAAAAAGCATAGGTCGCAGATTCTGACTCTTTTCTGGAAGCTCACTGACTATATTGCAACATCTTCATAACCATTAGAAAGAGAATGAATTGTTGCATCAAATGATACCAGAATCTCCTATACATCTTTGTTCCGCGAGATGTGGCATACGTTTGAAAAAAGCGACATCACTTTCGGAACGACCTATTGTCATTCTTGCATTTCCTACATTTATCCACGTTTGGCTCTATTTCCAAGAAATCTTCTTAAAGAATTTCCAAAAATAAGAATTAAAGTCAATCGCTCGACTGCATTCAAGGCGTATGCGTATGGTTATTGCAGATAACCCATATTAACTGTCATATTGGTAAATTTTTTAAAATAATATTTAAGCGTTTAGTTCAACCGTAGGCCGCTTATTCGCAGCTTCTCCAAGTACCCCAATAGCGTTTGATAGTGTTTGGATAGTTAGTGTCTAATGCTTTCTAGGTGTATGGTCAGAGGTTACCCGTTATCAACGCAGAATCAGAAAAGTAATGTTGGTTGCCGTGAATTCTAATCGCAGCTTGTAGAAGGCATCTCAATTTTTTGCATTGCAGTTTGTGTCTTCATAACCACATGGCTATCGTTTTTTCCTTGAGTACTCTTGCAAACGCGGCCAAACCCGGCATAAGTTAGTTATTTAATCCTCGCTTTTCGTTTACCTACTCATTCTTGTTGGCGTTCAGGTGAAACATCTCTTTTAGCTTATCTGAAATTTGCACGAAAGTTGAGATGTTATCCAAAACTTTTTTAAAATTTACTCCCTCCCCCTTTTCCACGAGAGGTGTCAATATCTGTGTCTTACCTTCATCTTTGGCAGTCTAAATGTTTAATTATCTATATCAAGTCATTCATCCGCTTTTGCCATTCGTAGATCCATTCATTCTTTCCGAACCAGTCGTGTGTGTTCCAGAATTTTCCACCTTCTTATTAATTATTTTAACAGCCGCTTACTCCAATTAGATTTACGTACAAACTTTCTGTTATTGTTATTATCATTTTCCCTTCTTTTCGTGAAAGCAGCATGAATGTCATTTTGAACAGATACTAATAATCGGGGGGTCTTGTGTGTTGCATGCCGGGGAGAGCAAGAGATCCAGTAGTTTGCATGTCAGTCAATGCATGTAGGTTCGTCAAAAGTGTTCCCAACTTTCTTCTAACGCAAAAAAAAACCACGAAGCTGTTGAACTAAGCTACGCGTACTGTCTCTGGCTTACGTTGTCACCTTCACCTCCATAGCAAATCACATATTCCTTCAATATCCCTCGCTAGATCAACTTCGCGACTTGCTGGCCGAGGTCCCACATACGTCGATTGGTAACTGTCAATGCGACCACATGCCCGCTCTCCCTTCTTAAAATTGACCTATCCAAAATGACCACAATTTTTCTCATCTCAGTTTTCACGTTAGACTCTAAATCCTTCATCAGAACCCCGTAGTTTTTAAAACTTTTTCAGCTTCCCTACTTCTCGATCCCCTGCTTCCTATCTTTCTGAGTACCACCGTTCAGAATGCTGTCTTCATCTTCGGGTTTTCATGCTATGGTGCCCAAAGTACTATCTATCATATTGTGGTATCAGCCCTATTGTCAATGTAACTAATTTTACAGCAAAGCAGTTGCTAGATCGGTTGTGCTTTCCGTTTGCTACTTTTGAACTTTTTGCGTAACAATCTTTTGCTGCAGTCAGCACTACCAACGAGAGAGTTGTGTTAAGGTGCGCAAAAAAACGTAAAGGAAAACATCAAGGTGGTTTACATACCAGCAAGTTATGCAGTAAATTGTGAAGCAAGGTGCCAAAATCAGCGTATTTAGCAGTTTTTTTCATCTTTTTACTTGTTTAAGGTTAGCATGTCGAAATCTTTCATCCTAAATGTCACCCTTATCAGATTTTATAAGAGAAGACTAACGCTTTCTAAGCATTTTTTCTTGAACTACTGACATGAAGAGCACAACTGAAGATTATAGTTAAAAATCGTTTTTAACATCTTTTTTCATTGATATAGCAGTGTATTTAAAGGAATAAATAGACCGGAAACCGTAATTAGACACGCTATCGTACCGCGTGGAAGTGACTAAAAAATGGAGCCGCAAAAGTGCGCACACTCCTGAATCAAAGCTAGATGACGATGACGTCCTTTGCAGGATTACGAAAGTTTTCGATACTCCATCAACGACACATTACAAAAAAATCATTCTGAAAAACTCAATCAAAAATATTTCCTCTTTATTTTGAAGCGCGAAGCCAGCATACTGCTTTCGTGCGCCCAAATTGAAAGTGGGTAGGGGCAGAGGAAGACTGAAAAAATAAAGCAAGGATTTTCAAAAACGTCGTAATTTGTTAGTTGTCAATGTACTTGGTGCATGAATACTTTGAAGAAGATCCTCTTACTTCTCGTAAGCGAAGTCCCAGAAATTTCGTCCGGGAAATAGGCGGCAATAATTTTCTGAGGGAAGCGGCATAACTTTAGTCACGCACTCTTAAGAAACTCTGGGAATTCTTGTACAGTGCTGACCATAGCTAAGCCACCCTAAAAATTATTGTAAATTGCCCCCTCTTGCTCGAATTGTCCGAAAAACTAGCAGTCTCTGTGCAAACCGACGTCATCATTGACCAGAGCGGCTCCCATCTTCATTGATTTTGGTCGGAGAAAAATTGAAAAATTTGAAAAAATGGGTTCCGAAGGCTAATCACAGCTATAAAGTCACCTCCCATTTTCGATCAATTGCATTCTTTATATCTAAAATTTTTTGTACATTTACAGCATCAAAAGATGAAGCATTTATTACACCTGGAGCCGTCGCCTTTTGAAAAGAAGATTCACACTGCATTTTTTGCTTCACAATGCATAAAAAGTCATAGTGTTCGAAAAAAAAACTGTTTACCGGATCTTCAAGCACTTGTTTAA